TATATATATATAAAGCACACCCAAAGCATCAATTTCAATGAAGACAGACAAGACCAAAGATCTGCCAAAGGATGTCAGGAAGACCATCAGGAAGCTCGGTTAGAAGGCAATGGCTGTTGGTGCAGCTATTTGGAAATGGAAGAAATACAAAATGACCAGCAACCACCCTTGGTCTGGAGGTCTTGTGTCATGGCGTGAGGATGATAAAGAAAAAGGTGGTGGATCAGCCCAAAACTACACAGGAGCAGCTTGTCAATGATCTGAAGGCAGTTGGAACCACCATCACCAAGAACACAAAATCCCTACTGACAAACCTGCTGAGCAGCTAGGAACAGGATCTCCAACTGGTACTAAGTCATGTTTTGCTTGGGGATCAAATAATTGTTTCACTCAATGACATGCAACTGAGTTTATAACTTTTATGTTATTAACGGACATATATAATCCTCACAGTGGTGGCAGTTTCATGTAATGTTTATAAGGTTGGGGTGACTTGGAGGAGTGACGAAACGTTTCTCCCACTGAAAACTCTACATATGGATGAACAGAATCAACTTTTTGGGGTTTTATGTCATTTGTTTTTTCTTGATATTCGGTTGCTATTCTTTCTCTTTCCATAAAAATAAAACTACTATAAAAGTTAGGAACTGTTTTCTGTGTGAGCACATTTACAAATTCAGTGGTGAATCAAACAACTATTTCCCTCCATTGTTTGGCGGTATGTGAGGTATAAATTCACACCCTATTTTTTGCATTCAGCAAACTTTCAGCAAACCATTCAGCAAATTTTCTCGTAACTGTTTTCAAAAAACCTGAAGATCATCATGATTGCTTCCAAGTAGTCCCATACCGTCATGGCAACTTATCTTAGGTTTTGTCACCTGCATTTCTCATTTCTGCCGCTTCAGCTCTAATCGGAAAGGTCACGTCAACAGATCCAGGGGACAGATATATGGACAGATAGCTGCTCTGGACAGTTTTCCACAGTGGCAGGATCTTACAGTAGCAAAAGTCTCATGTTACTAGTGTCTTATTTCACTAGCTCAGGGCAGCAAGTGAAACTCACTGCCCTTGGGTATGTGTCCTCTCTTCTCATTATCTGTTTATCTACCACTCAATAGTCTTTTACCGTTTCTCCTGTTTATTTTTCTCCATATCACTTAGACATGGCTCGCGATACTGCCAAAGCTAATGAGGTAAATTAATGCACTTTTCTGAACTCCCAGAGGTTAGAGATTTTTTATTATGTTACCAAATGCACAACAGTAATATTATATGATATATTATATGACATATAATATATGTGATTCTGCAGTCATGTAATGTATAACCCCACACAATACTAGCTGTTCATAATTCAGATCTGTTTGCTGACTTTAAGAAATCAAATGTATTTGCAGTCATTGTATACAGCCACACTTCAAAGCAGATAAGGTAAAGAAGAAAAGAAAGAAAAGAAAAGAAACGAGGAATGTTATAGTTTTTCTTTTACCTCTGTGTACCTGGACGATCCTGGCATGATAAATAGTATATATTAAGCTGAGCCTCATTATTGTACAAATCACTTTGGTTAACCAGATACATTTTATTATTATCCATAACATAATACCATGAAGAAGGCAACTGATTAGTCCCAGATTTATTTTTCAACATGACAACAACCACAAACATACAGCCAGTGTCCAAAAAAACTATGTTCTGCAACAAGAAGAGCAACAAGTACTGCAGCAGATGGTACAGTCCAATGGGCAGAAATCTGTGCCATCAGAAACTGAATTTGAATAAGTTAAATTTGAAATGCTCAGATTGAATTACATGTAATACATTTATTACCAACCTGAGAGTTTATCCGCTGGTCATTCGACATGACGAATGACTTCTGAAGTCTTAATCCAGCTCAAGACACGTAGATTCCCGTCAGTAACACTTTCGGTCCGCTAGTAAAACGTAGTTCTATTAATCTGGGCTCGATTACTCTTGAACCGGAACCGGATGTAAGTCCCAAAATACTGAATTTTGGAATTGAAATTGAATTGTAGAACTGAAACGGAATGGTGAGAAGTGAATCTGAACTTATTCGAGAGCTAAACTTTTAAAGGATAAAATACGGTTTCAAAGCAAATAAATTCATTTTCAAAATATAAAATTCAATTTCAATTTAGTGATGATCATTTTCAAACCAATAAATTGAATTTCAAATTAGGCTAAGTCATATTCAGTTTTTAAAGGCATTTATTCAAGTTCTAATTCAAATTCAACCGAGCAATTCAAATTTAACTTATTCAAATTCAGTTTCTGATGGCACAGATTTCTGCCCATAATTTTCTTTTTACTTTTATAAAGGTAACAGATACATAATTTAAACTGAAAAATAAAACAGAGTAACTGTCTTTTTCTGCACTTTTTTTTGAGTGAGTAATTTCTGCAACACAAGTCACAAATTAAAGTGCTACATAAAATTTCAAATACTCTCTGAGGGCTTCTAGCGGATGTGCACGGCATGACAGAGTGGGCATGCTGAGAACATAAAACAGAGACAAGTATAAAAAGAATCAAAGACAGAAAAAGTGGAGGGGGGTGTGGAGCATGTGTCACAACAGGATGCTGGGTTTGTTGACAAAAACAAACAGTCCTGCACACAATGCACGTCAGTTGCACGTCATTCCAAACAGTACACAAACAGTGACGGTGGTGGAAAAGTAGGGGTCACAGCACAGTGAACAAGCTTTTCAGGAATCATCCCTGATAACAGTAGCTGATAGGAATTGACACTGTAAGGGTCTAGATGCTTGCACACTCTATATACAGTACTGAGAAAAATACTGAGTCACCCATCAATGTAAAGGAAATATATTAGGAGGTAGACTTTCTTGTAATTGTTTTAAAGTGGTCTTGAGCAATAGTTCTCCAGGCTTTCTGAAAGTCTTTCGAACCTTTTCTTTAGACATTGGCTACTGACCAATTTCAGGGGAATGTTTCTTTGTTGAACAAGCATTGACCAGTGAATGATTCAAGCATTTAAAAAAGATATCCAGCTCAAGGGATGAATCAGTGTTGTGTCTACACAGATAGCTTATCAAAGAATCCGTTTTCAGATTGTGTCTTTAAACACTAGCAGGTTGTTGCAAGAGAACTTACAAGTGATTCCCTATCAAATGAAAACTAATCTCAGCACGTTGTGCAGTGTGTCCCTACAAAATCTGAGGAAACTGGACAAGTGTAGGACAAACGTGGTAACAGGCCTAGAAAATACAATCTACTGCATCTGAACAGTGTCTGATGTTCATAAGAAATAGGAAAAAAATCCAGCAAAGACCTAACTGGACTGGGTCTAATGGAATAATCAATCAAAATTTTTGTTCAAATCATCACTAACATGTACAGTGAGGTGAGGTGAGAAGGAGAACAGTGGATATGTACAGTCATCTGTAAATACTCATGGATAAGGCCCTGGAGATACTTCTCCACTTGGGGCACCAACAAATTCCAAATTTGGAATAGATACTCCACACTTTTCTGTCTGAGGTAGATGGCGTCACCTTTGGAAATGCTATTTCTGCTCTTAACTGCTCTACACTTGACTACATTCTGCCCCTTTGCAAGCTGAAGGTCATTACTCAAATAAGCCAACAGAATCACATTTTCTCCAGAAAGCAGAGAAAAGTCCACCAAACCCTCCACTTATGGCTTAGTCACAGTAGAGTAAGAATACAACAGCTACCTTCTTGCGAGCAGGAAAAATCACCAGTTGTGATTATACTGAACTTTTTTCACATTCAGCGACAAAATGATTTCCCAGAGGTTGACAATGAAACAGCTTTAACATCTGGGAGATCACATTGCAACGTGATTGCACAGGTCGCCTGGTGGGAGGCAACCTGCCTCTAAACAATCACAGTCAAACTCAAAGTGACAGCAGTCTGTCTCAGACAGGTTTGTAAATAAGTGCCTTCTCATTTATAAATGCAGACAGATTGCCAACACACTGCAAACAGCCTGACTCATTCTGTGCAACTAGTTCACGATGCATCTCCTTGGGAACTGGACTTAACTGGTTGCCAGATGGTTGTATTCTGATTATATTCCTAAATAAAAGCAAGCTTTTTTAGTGTCTTTCAACTGCAAACTGATAGCAGACTGACTCTGTCTTTCATTGCCATATTAAGACACCAAAGTTTCTTTAAACATGGCAACTGACTGCAAGTGGTTGGAGACCAGCTCCTTATATGTGTGTGCTTTTTAAAAACTTTCTTGACAGTTTTTCTTCTGTGAGAAATTTGGTCTCATTTGTTTAAAAAAAGAAGAACATTTTAACAAAAGGATTTGTACAAAATTGTTCATTCTCCTTTCTTTGTCACTTGTATTTCTCCAGACATGTCAATCCAAGGTGTTTGATCTATCTGATGGAGTGTCGCAGTACGCATGGTTCCCCTGTCGAGTGGCTGATTCAGCCTGGGGATATTATACATACTGGCTCAAGGTAACACCAATATCCATGAAATATAGTTCAGATGACACCTGAAAATTGCGCTTTTGGGTTGAGTGTTCTTTGTAATAATGTCAAACTGCTGTACTGATACTGACAACGCTTTAGAGAGTAATCAGCATTAGACGCCTGGATTGGGAAAGTATCTGTGTATTAGATACTAAACAAATTAGGATAAATCTAGTTGTACACACAAACACAAACATGTGACTAATTTTACTTAACTTTGTGCTTTTCCCTTTATTCAGGCCCACTTTTCTCATCCCATGGTGGCAGCAGCAGTAATTATACACTTGGCTGCTGATGGTACTGGCTTCATTGATCAGACACAATGTAATATTACTGTTCAACTGGTGGACACCAAAGAGGGGATCCATAGCCTAGGTGAGAATTATCTTAATGTGTTTTCAAACTACTACTTACCTCTGTATCAGTCTAAGTGAAATGATGAAAGCATACGTCATTTAGAACGCCGCCCCCTTAAGCATGTGTTGCTTTCATCCCTTTGTTTTTTAACTTGATTGGCTATGTCTCAGTTAGAACACGGTATCAGCTTTTCATCACCAGCTCCTTTGTAGGCCTCCTCTTCTTTTTGATCTTTGAGGTTGGTTAACATCTGCTTCTGTCCCCTACCTTCCCTATCTCGACATCAATGCACAATGTTTTGTCTTCTGCTCTCGGCCCCAATATCCTCTCCACAGGTGAGTGGCGTCTAAGCTGTCGCACAAACCCTTTGGTCATCCCAGTGAGTCATGACCTGTCAGTGGCCTTTTACCACACCAAGGCTATCCTGGTGATGTTTTCCTCTCACCTTGTGGCCATCTCCGGTGTAGCCCTGCGTTCCTTCCAGTCTTTTGACCCCATCACAATAAGTGGCTGCCAAAGCAATGAGATCTACAACCCCACAGGACAGAGGTGAGGCTAAAAATATACAAACGTAACAGCGCTGTAAAAGATGTTAACATATTTAACACAGACGTCAGTCGACAGGATGCGAAATCACATCATGAACATGTTATATCACACACACATGCATGCATGCATGCATGCATGTATAATTTACACTATAGTCAAGTGTTTATATGTGTTTTGGAAGAATGCGGGTGAATTTATACTAGTTTTTAATTTATTAAACAAAAGAATAAGTCTTGTTTCTGAGTCACAGAGCTTGTTATGATATGTATTTGCTGTCAAGTCACATATTTATGCATACAGACAAACTGTTATTGCCCCCAAACAGCTCTCTTGGAATTTCTTTAAACATTCTTCAGGAAGAGTGCTCCAGTCTTTTTGAAGGACATTGAAAGCTTTACTTTGGATGTTTGCTGCCTTTTGTTGTGTTCAAGAAGATCCTGTACTGTACTTTGTGTTTTTCTATCCAGGTATGCTTTTACTGGATTGGGAGTGTGTTTGAGATCATTGTCATGGTGAAAAATGAAGATGTTGTGTTTAAGGTGGTATTGCAAATGGTACTGCATGGAGAATCAAACTCTGACCATACTTTATGTATTTGTAATTCTAAAACACACAACCCCACTGGCTGAAGTACAGCCACAAACCATGACTGAGCCTCCACCGTGCTTTACAGATGGCTGTAGCCACTCACTCATCATCTGTTGTCATAAATGAGTGAAAAAGGCAGCTAATGTCCAGAGAAAAACTTTGAAAGGACCCCCAGAAATCCTGGAGAACAACTACTTAAATTTATTATATTTTTTTTTAAATCTTGATCCTTTACTCAGTACTGCATCAAACAAGCCTTCCAGACTCCAAAGTATTTTCTTCTCTTCATATATTTTGTATAGATGTGTTTACATATATATTCGCACATGCTGCTGTATATATATATATAATATATATATATATATAATATATATATATATATATATATATATATATATATATATATATATAAACATAAAAGACAAGGAGAACTAAAAGCTGTATGTGAACATTTGAATCTGAAGATGCATTAACTATGCAAGTTAATGAGAGTTCACAAGTGTAATATCCTTGGCAGTTCATTGGACCTCGTAACTCATAAATTTATAACCAGCTGCCAGCCAGCGTTCAACACTAACTTTTCGTTACAGTTCAATTTGCTGTTGTGTTAAGTTCCAGCTATTTTTTTCTTTTTCTTTTTTTTTTTTTACAAAATCCAAAAATGTTTTTTCATCTGTAAATTTCTTGCATTGTTCAATAGGGCACTGAGGCTGCAAGCTGCGGTTTCTTCAACTCTAACTTTAAACTGGCCATCAATCAGGCATCAAATTGGAGGCCAAGTACAGAGCACCATTTCTAAATTGGAAATTTATACCATGAGATGCATAAAGATTCATAACAGCTGAAAAGAAAGCTTCATAATAATAATAACTATAATAAAAGCCAATAAAGATGCTTACATCATTTTCAACAGCTGCTGGCTGAAACACCAAAACAGTTATTACCTATTTGGCTATAAAATAACAATTTTGAGCCTGCACTACCTCCAAGTACCCACTCACAAACATACCTAAAGAAGACCACACACACAGTCAGAATTGATCAATTTCCACACCACCGTCATGCATGCAACAGTTCACAGGGACGATGATTCCACAAACCTTTCAACAAGAAATGCACTAATACGCACCACAATACCCAAAGAATGGATGGTCTGAAGTTCTGTGTGGAGAGATAGAGCTGTTTGTGGCTTTTGTTGTGTGCCAGTTAGACATCCAAGTGCTTCTAAATAGATTAAAACTGCTGTGCATCTGCATCAGCCAGGAAATTGTTTGTTGCCGCACACAGAGGCATAGTTGCTTTCTCCAAGACTTTTTGCCGACTTTTCTTTCTTTCATATTCTCTCAACCTGATCTAATTTCCAGAAGCTCTTGAAAACACTGCTTATATGATGGCAAGCCAAAGAGACAATACCCACTTATCTTCAGAAGCTCTGAACATGCTACAAGCTGAATATGATAATATAGTGCAGCTCAGTGCCGTTTAGACATGAAGAATCCAGGCTTTCTGTTTTTGTGTCTTAAGTCTGTTTTTCTTTAATCAATACCAATTCACCATCTACATTATACTGTTTATATCCCACTTTGAAAGCTGCTTGTCTCTCTTCTACATTTTCTTTTACATCCCAATTCCCTTTCCCTGATTTGTTACATCTTTGCTCCTCCACTACTTCTGGTATCCTTTTCTGTCTTCTCATCCTTTACTTGCACATGACCCTCCTTTCCCTCTAACTGCCATCTTCTTCTTCTTAATTCTCCCCTTTTTTGTGCCTCCTGCGCCCACTTTCCTTCTCTCATTCTCCTGGGCTGAGCAGCATACTTCCCGTAATACTTATGCCTCCACAAAACACCACATCCCCTTTTTCCCTGAGTTGTTAACTACAGGAGCTATTAACATGACTCAGTTTTATGTCCCAAGCTTGTCTGCAAGAAAATGCACACACACACACACACACACACACACACACACACACACACACACACACACACACACACACACACACACAC